GCCTGCTCCTGGACTGAATCGCTGTAGCCATGCGGAGCTACGCACTAATGTCCTGATAGTAACAGAAAGTTCAGTTTAATTGAATTTAAGCTCTATCTAGGGTTAAGGTACGAAAGGCCGTGAGAACTGAGGGCAGTGGTGCTTGTTTTGCAAGGTCTGTCTGCTGCCTAGAGGACAGGGTCCTGCATCTGCTTCGTGCCTTGCTGGCTGAAGCATCCCTCTCCCCCACTTCTGCAGGCTGGGATATGGTGATGGTGGTACTGGTGCTGGGTATGGGGGTGCTGGTAGGGACTGCCCTGAGCCCATGGTGAGTGTTACTGTGGCCTTTGGAGAACAGTTTACTTGCTGTTTTGGGTTTGGTGGGGTGGGTTTTTTGTTTGTTTGTTTGTTTTTGCAGCTGCATTTGCAGATATCTTCAAATGTCAGTGGTGGCTGAAACCCAACCCCTGCAGCCAGATGAGGCTGACCTTGTCATCCAGAGCCAAATTGTGCTGTTACAATGATCTAAAAGCAGGCTGGAAAGCCCAGCTGCTCCACTGCATCTGCCCAGGGGAAGAGGTGGGTGGGCGAGAGGTGCCCTGCTGCCCTCCACGACGGCGGAGGGATGCTTTAGCTGTGTTAGCCTCACGTCTCAAGGGGTGTGCTGGCCCGGTGCGTGCATCCACAGCCCCGTGTATGTTACCTGGCCTGCCTGGGTAAGTTCATTAAGGACTTGGGCTGCTAACGGTGTGGAGATGGCAAATACTGAGGCTGGATGCCCAACAGGCGCCCAGCTGCTGGGCTGCAACTCCCGTCCCTAAAAACAACTGCAGGGTTACAGCCAGGAGTGGTGTTTTTCCAAACCTGGCTGAGAGAAATGCTCCTACTGCTGGGCAAAGCAGCTCCTCTGTGAGAGAGGAGGTTTTCTACACCACTTGCAGTTGTGGTGGGTTTTTCCCTTCCCGCCACCACCTTCTCCATGCATGAGGTTGTGCCCTGATGTCCTGTGTGACACGGTCCCCTGAGACCCTCGTGCTGGCTGAGTCTGAGCAGGGATGGTGGTGTTGGGGCTCTCGGAGAGCCCTGGGGACACGCGGGCACTGGGAGGGAGGTGGCATCATCAGGTATCATTGGGCAACATCCCTTTGGGTCTGGACCATGCGCCATGGTGAGAGCGAGCACCATCTCTCCTGCAGCCCGACCCCAGCTCCGACTTACGCGTTAGCCCACAAAAGCACAGAAATATGACATCGTGGCCACTGCAAGCCCCACCGGTGAGGCTGGGGAGGGAAACCTGGCACAGCTCCCAGTGGGCTGGCTGGTTTCAAGGGGGAGCAGAAAGCAGCTCTTTGTGGGGTCCCTTCTGCTGGGAGAGGGAGCTCACCGCCCCAGCCCCCTTGTTTATCCAGCACCAGCGGGCTGGCTACAAAAGACTACCTGTAAAAATTAGTTTTGGCACAAGCATCCCGGGGAGCGCCTTTGCCAAGGAAAAATATTGTCGACAGGCTCTAGGAAAACAGTGTTACTCATCTGGGGGGAAAATAACCAAGCCAGGTTGAGCAACCTGCATGGATATATTCGGCACAGCTTTACCTCCGACCAGCAGTGGGACACCTGCAAAAGGATGGTGCTTTTCCTTGGTGCTACCCCATGCCACCCAGCTTGCCTCGCCTTGGGTTGGTGCAGGTTTGAGGGTCCCCCACTCCCCACTGAGGGACACATCAGGCCAAAGGGGGGGGGCATTTGTGGGATGTAGCTTGCTGGTGCAGGGGGTGATTTTATCCTGGGTTGCTGGAGGTGTTCCCGGTGCTCTGCTGTGCCAGGGCAAAGCCCAGCCCCTGGGTGCTGGCGGGGGGCAGCTGAGCTTGGCAATGGGAATGGCTGAAACTGGCATTAAAACATTTCCCACCCTGTTCTTCCCATCACCAGGCCTGCACTGAAGTCACTTCCCCGTGCGTAAGAAGCAATCCAAGGCTTAATGACTATTTTTTTAGACATTAAAAACCTCTGTTCTCTGCAAACCAGAACCAAATTTTACAAGCATCACGTAAAGCTCTGCTAGTTGCTCTGCACTCGCTCTGCAATCTTGTTTGACTATCCTGATGCAGGCTGCAAATAACTTCCTGGTGTTTTACAGCATGTGTCAAAGATAAGAGCTTGAGAAATCGGATTCCAGTCAGTAAGTGACTGTTGAAGCCCTCCGATACAAACCACAGCTGCACTGCAAAGGACAGAAAGACCTTGCGTGGCTTATATCAGCTTGCAGACCCCTTTTTCTTCCCTGGCTGGAGCCACCCTTTGGCTCTGAGCACCCGCAGAGTGCCAGCTGAGACACAAAGACTGTTTTGCTTCATCTGATATAAAACCTGGCAACGAGGAGGAACGGGGTTCATCTCCCATAAAGCTGAAGTGCCCCTGCCTTGAATATCAATACTAATCCAAATGGTTTAATATACTTTAAGCCAATCTGACATTGTTTCAATGAAACACCTTTGAAAGCCCTTTGATGTGCAACAGGCAGGTCTCAGATGAGCGGTATTTGGGGGAAGATTTGGGATACCATTTCATGCTTTGCTTTATCTTCCAGTACATGGAGCTGGATGTAGCTGCAGCGTGAGGTTAGAAGTTTTATTTTTTAAGCAATGGACCCAAAAGCACGTAGCTCACATTTGTAACCTATCCTATCAAACCAGCTGTCAGCACAAACACCACCGGCACACCTGAGCCCAATGCAAGCAAGCTGCTGTCGCAGAGCATGGGACCAACGTGTAGTGCAGGGACTTGCACAGCTCTGTGACAAATCTCTTTCCACCAGCACACGGTAAAGCAAAGACCCAACCCCAAAAGTTTTCCCTTTTGTGCACTGCCTCCTTGTACAGTGAGCAGGAGTGAAAGCACAGACAGCCCGGCTCCTGCCACTGAGCTTGGTCTGCAAAGCAACTAACAGCAGGAGCTGGGCTTATTAATTTGAACTGTGTTTTGGGGGGAAGGTGGAATGGGGGAGATCAGAGCAGAAATAGGTAGGAAGTAGCAGCTTGCAAGAGAGAAACCGTAATTTCCACAAATCATGCATTTTAACTGGGGTTTTGCTCTAGCTGGCACCTTTGCGCCATGCCATGTGTATGGAAGGTGCTGGCCCAGACCCCGCGGTGTGCAGATGCGGCAGCCAAACACGGCAGAGGAGCTCAAGCTTCGAAGGGCAGGAGCTACGGGACCTGAACCCAGAGGACAGGAACGCAAGTCAAATAGGCTGGGAAGGATTAGAGGTCTCAAGCAGGCTTCTTCCAGCTTCCCCTTACAGTCTTTTCACTGCAAACGTAGCCAAGGGTGGAAAGAAGATGGGGATTGCAGGCTCTAGTGCTAGGAAGAAGAGAGCATCAAGCTGTCAGAAAGCAGCCTTCACATTGCTCTTTCAGATTAATAAGGCTAACAACTGCCCTGAGCTGTTACTCAGCTGGGAGAAGTGGCTAGCACTGGGGTGAAGGATGGCTACTTTGCTTCGTGGTACTTCAACAGGTCTATGCAGCCTACTTTCAAATTTCTAAAGCAACTGCATAAATAGGAGGTTAAATGGCTAAACTACCCCTTAACCTCCTTTGACAGCAGACAACCGATTTGTATGACCCTGCCCATTACAGTTACCTCAAAGGGTGCATCCAGCTGCTCTAAGTCACACAGTATTTCATCTGTGACTTACAAAGCAAAGTCCAAGGCAGAAAGTGCTAAAAGCCAAGGGGTGGGAAAGGACAGCAAAGAGGACAGGCAAGGATAATTTTGTAGAGCAGCCAAGCGGCTTAATTGGCCAAGTCGTTTCAATTGCACTGCTTATCCTTCTGGGACAAGAGAGTCAAGGAAGACCTTGCCATGGTATCTCCCATGCAACTACCTCAAAGAAGAGGCTGCATAAGCAACATCGACATTGACGATGCTTCTGAAAACAATGTCATTTCTAACAACAGTTTGTCCCTGAGATTATTTAGCTTTTCTCAAAGGACCAGTATATTTGGAACAGAGCTTTGTCAGCCTCTTTATGTTGCATCACCGAGATTTATTGCCAGTGACTCAGTTCATTTCAGAGAATGTTTATGATAACTCTCTTGTGGAAGAAAGCTGCCTTAAGTGAGTGCTTCACTTTTAATTCGAAAAATGGGAATTTATACATGCATGAAACAGGTAAAATAAGTCTAGCTGGGGTAGCCTTGGTGCTGTAATTACTTTGGTTTTCAATGCACTTGCACATTTCACATGAAACTAGGTTGTAGCATACCCAGACTATATGGTACATTGAACCTCTCAGCACCTTGCATTTAACAGCACAACACTTGTTTTGTTCTCACTAAAGAGACTTCTGCTCCCTAGATGAGATGTGGAAGCTCCAGCTTGAGACGCTGCTGTCTATGGGGGCAGATGGGGCAAACAGGACCCAGACCACAGATCAAACTAGTGCAAAACCCACTTCTGGCCTTAGCTCCAGGATAAACCACTTACTAGTAGCGGGTAAGCAGCAAAGGGTGATTTTTGGCCAACAGAAACCTTAGCATAACTTGCCTTTGTGCCTCTAGGTTCTTGCTTTTCTTCTTGTTCAGTCTAAACCGTGCATGGTCCTGCTGTCTCTTGCCCTTCGGGCCAAGGACTTTTCAGGACAATGCAGCCAGCTCCTACTGCCCCTTGGGGCTGGGTTCATTAAGCCACAGGGGGAAGGGTAGGCACTTTTCTCCTAGGCAGAAAATAGCTTACAAGTTTTAGCTGCCCACATCCAATCCTTTCTGGTGCCCTTTTAAAAACAAAAGCGATTATGCTGTTCAAGCTGGGCTCTTCTGATATTGAGAGATGGCCTCATCCAGTGAGCTAGTGACACTTCTCCTGCAGAGCCTTTGGCCCAAGTGATGTGGCTGCTAAGACCACAGTGTTAGCATGGTACTGAATTTTTAAAAGTGAGAGGGAAAATGACAAGCTTATCTTAGCTGAATAGCCATACACAGCAATGCCAAGGTTTCCAAATTAATAAAAAGCCAACAGCATTACAGATAAATGTATTTTAATTAGGATTAAATACTATCTCAAGGTATCTTGAAATCGCACTTGTACTGTACTAATCAACAGCCAGAGGCAATAAAAAAAGTCTGAAAACGTAGAAGTTCTAACATCCAACACATGACAGTAAGTGCTGCCATTTAAAGCAACAAACACCGCTCCCAAGAACAGATATTCTTAGAGGAAGAAGTCGTAACATTTTTTGTATGGACAAAAAAAATTTAAAATTGAAGACCGGAAGAAATATATTAGTGCCTGCCTTTTTAAAAGTTTTTTTACATTAAATACAGTTTTCTTTAAAAGCAAGGTACTTTCTAAATTCATGGTTTATATACTGTATGTACACAAAAGCAGAACATTGTACAGTGTTTTTGGATAAAGCAGCACTAACTAGCTATAAGCTGGTACGGTGTTGCTGAACCAAACGCAAGATGACAAGTTAAGCACTCTAGGAGAAATATCTCCATGGTTGGTATGAGAAAAGTAAAGTATCATGTATGTACAAACTGATTATTCAAACAAATCGCACAAACTCAACATCATTTGCCGTGGAACTGTACATGCTGCAGCTAATCAATGGAAGTCTTACTGCAAGAACTGATCCGAGAGACCCAAAGTAACCATTTTCTTTCAGTAACATAGTGCATTACCCATGCAGAGAGCACTTACGCAAGTCATCATTGCAACGCATCACCCCTGGGGTGCAGGGCTCCAAGGAGAGCAGATTCTTACTGCAGCCTCAAGTCAAGCAGCCACCTGCATTTTTCCACTATACAAAATATGAAATGCCCCAACCAAACCATATGAAATTGAGATTAAAGCTACATTATTAAGTATGTGCACTCTGGCTTTCTGCAGACAGTTACAGATTAAAGCAGAAAGTCTGCACCCAAGTATCACCAGTTCATACTAAAATGGACTGGCAGCGATTTCCATAATTAGTGCAGCATTAACTCCTATACTTTATCAAAGTGACTTACTGTTCTTCAGACGCGCAACATGCTTATTCAGGTTTTACAAAAAAAACCAAACCAGAACGTTGTGCAGAAAACTGGTTTCAGGTTTGTAGATATATATCTTTTTTTTTTTTTTAAAGTCTACCCCCCATTAAAAACCCACGAAACTTAGAAACAGTTTGTGCCCTGGTTCAAAGTCAATTGCCTCAAAAAATGACTTTTTTTTATTCTAGGGTTAGCACCGGGGCAGAGAGATTAAGGTTGTTCTTGTTACATATACTTTTAATCATCATTCAGTTTACATCTTCAGAAGAGGTTATTTGCTGTACTTTCAGGATGCTGTTCATCCTTGTCTTAGCCACTACACTGGTTTAAAAAACTGAATGTTTCTTCTTTGATGAGGACAGAAGTGAGACAACTTGTTTCTAAACTGCATCAACTTAAAGTTTCAAGTTTTAATGGTGTACAAATCTGACATTCAATTACAGTTAAGAGAAACTTGCTACACAGCAAACTGCATCCAAATCTATCAGTTATTGATGGGACCTTTAAATTAACCGTTAACAAGTTATTCAAAGCATCCAGACCTGGAAACATCAGATCACCCAGCCAGTGAGCCAGCAACTCCCTCCCCCTCTTTCATGAGGCTTTAACAAATGCAACTGATGTGACCTTAGCACTGGAGCCAATGACTTCCATTGGTTAACTCCAATACCCAAAAGGGCTAGGGAGATCCTGTGTTAAGCCCAATGCAATATGCATTAGTGTCACGGAGCAGGAAGATCCCAGTGTCTACTTGTTAAAGTTCACACAAACCATACAGATACAGACAGGATAAAACACAGACTCAAAAGGATCCATTATGCTTGAAGAAAATTCCAAATAAAATGACATCTTCTGCACAGCCCAGCCTCAGACACAGCCACACCTTTATCTAGTATAATAAACTCTGTAGTAAACTGTTTTTGACCTCCATAGAGAGTAGGAGTTGTCAAATTTAAGAAGATAAACTCCTCTCCCTGGGTACTGGTGGCTGCCAGCATACACTTCTTCGTGACAGTCTCGTCTGTACACAGGCACTATTTCATCTAGCTGAGGCTTGCTGGCATTCTTTTTGGCTTTTTCTTCACTGCTAGTATTTTCTGTGAGGGAAAAAAAAAAGGTGTCAGTTAACATGGGTGGATGCTTTACAACAGAAAGTCAGACTGATCTGTAGTGGACAAGGCACTCTTTGTTAGTTTAGAAATCAGATGGGTCAAAGGGGTTCATACCAAGGCCGTGGCCAAAACATTCAAAAGCAGGAGGAGCAGTAAGCATGCTCACTTTATCATGAATTTTACAGTTTGATATTAAAACTCACCACACCCATCTCCCCAGCACAGCTGGGTCAGTTTGTAGAAATGCCAAGCTGTAGTTTTCATAGACATTACCTCACATTGACTGCTACTGATCTGACATACTACTACCAATTACTTAGTAGTAATATCCAGAAGGCCACTGCTTCCTATGTCAGAGCAGTTCCTTCTAAGCAAATCACATGCTCATTTCAAAATATTTTTTTCTGATGGTATGCTAGACTCCCCTGTAGGTAAAGGCTGTGACCTGTGCCCTGGCCACTATCAGGAATTGCTCTTTTAAGCTGTTTTGCTGAAACCTTAAGGAAACTTCCTCCCTAGAAAAAGTTCATGAACAGCAGGGAAAGATTTTTCTTAAGGTTTTCAGCATGCAGAGCCACTATGCTCTATTATGGGACAGGTTTCAATCTAGCTTACTGAATAGCTGAACTGGACAAGAGGGCACACTAAGGAGTAAGCAAAACTTAGGAAAAGGATTTCCCCACCCTCAACTGCTTTAACCAATCTGTGACCAAATCAGGTGACTGAAGTTACTTTCAGAATTGCACTTCCCATCCAAAATTGAAGACAAGATTCTAGCTAGATTGAAGTTGGGGGAACTAGGAAGTTACACTAGACAGTCAGTTGGGTTTTCCCCCACGGCAAGCTCCGCAGGACTGGCAGTTTATTCAAATAAGCATGCTTACCTTCCTCTTCATCCTCATCATCACTGGATTCGCTGACATGCACACTGACTGCAGTATTAGGGGAGTCTGTCCATTCAAAATACACCCCAAAACCAATGTCATAATTGTCTGTAGCAAACTCCCAAAAGAGGTAAGACCCCTCTTCATGAGTTGGTACTCTAACTGTAACCACTTCTCCTCGGCCAACTGTGATTACAGAGTCTGCATCCTGCCGGATTTTTTCCTTGAAGTCTTTTATCTGGGGTCTTGTCCACATTGATGGGGCAGCTATCACTGGAACAGAATCTGGAGAGAGGGTAGGAAATAGTCCAGTTAAGCTTTGTTTCAGTTATTTATGCTGCATACTTAAGCGTGCCTTAGGGGCAACTTAGGACCACAAGCATCAGAGTTGCGTCCAAGTAATTCCCCCCGCCGCCTTTTTTTTTTTAACTGATGTCATGGTTTAACCCCAGCTGGTAACCAAGCACCACACAGCTGCTAACTCACTCCCCCCCACTCAGGGGGATGGGGGAGAGAATTGGAAGGAAAAAGGTAAAACTTGTGGGTTGAGATAAGAACAGTTTAATGGAACAGAAAGGAAGAAACTAATAATGATAATAACAACAAAATTACAATAATAATAATAATTAATAATAAAAGGTCTTGGAATATACAAAACAAAGTGATGCACAATGCAATTGCTCACCACCTGCTGACCGATGCCCAGTTAGTTCCCAAGCAGCGATCCCTCCCAGGCCAACTCCCCCCAGTTTATATACTGGGCATGACATCACATGGTATGGAATACCCCTTTGGCCAGTTGGGGTCAGCTGCCCTGGCTGTGTCCCCTCCCAACTTCTTGTGCCCCTCCAGCCTTCTTGCTGGCTGGGCATGAGAAGCTGAAAAATCCTTAACTCAGTATGAACGCTTACCAAAAACTGAAAACATCAGTGTGTTATCAACATTCTTCTCATACTGAACCCAAAACATAACACTATAGCAGCTACTAGAAAGAAAATTAACTCTATTCCAGCCGAAACCAGGACAACTGAAGAAACATCTTTTCAGTTGAAAATTGCATGAAACGCAGTGCAAGTTTAGATGTAACACTGCACACTTAAATCCTACCGGTTCACCCATCCGCCACATTTAAATCAACAGTGCTTATGCAAAAAAGACTCAGAAGACAGATGTACTGCTACAGTACTAACGGGGTTACGTTGCACAGAACGCTTCACTAAAAGGCCCTTTAATGCAATAGAACCAGAGGATGTGGATTTGTCTAGAAATTGTCAAATATTGACTAAAATAACTGAACACCTCATTACGCAGACAGGGACCGTGCTAGTGTTGGTTCCATACCGGGATCCAAGCAAGTCTTTGGAGGACTACTGATTGTGGATGAAAGTACAGAGGTAACACCCTGAAATACCAGTGATGACAGAGCTGTTGGGAGGCTACTTTTCCTGCTCTACTTCCTAGAAGCAGTCTGAGGAAGGTGGGAAATGTGAGGGGACAGCAGTCTGGACTGCACATAGGACAGCACTAAGCCACAGGTAGAGCAGCATTCAGGGAGAGTAAGAGGAATTTGGCTTTATTTTAATCTGCAAGGCTCAATCACTCAGTTTTGACCCGAGTTTAAATAAGATTGAACATATTTCCATGCAGAACAGCTTTCTGCTAGAACTTTTATGCTACTTTCCTTCAAGTCAAGAGTGAAAGGAGGTTCTGGATCCCATCCACTTTACCTGAAATGCTTTTGCTGCTTCCTCTTTCCCTCCCCAAAAGGTGAGTTTTGTCCATGCAACACTGTTCTCCCTTGAGAGAAACTGGACCCAGGAATCAAACCTAGCTCTTGCATAGCCCAATAAGGCCAAGCAAAGAGCCATAGTAAACATACTTAAGACATCTGAACCCTAAGAAAGGCTTTTGCTATTTACTTTTAATTAAGGGATGTAGCTAGTCCTACCTTTTGGTCCATTCTCCAGTGCTTCTTCCAAAGCCTCTGGATCCAGCTCTTTTTCAGGGCTGTCTGCATGTGCACTGGCCTGCCCATTAATAGATGGGGTGTCCCCTGGGGCAGGTGCATTCACCTTCGATGCAGTAGTCAGAGGTGTCCCTGTTGCTGCCACAACCGCCTCCTGCTGTTTCTGTAAGGCTGCCTAAAATGACAGAAATTAAGTCAAGTAAACCCAAAACCTCCCAAGATGTCTCCCTCTTCCAGCAGAAGGTATAAAGACACTTTAAAGAAAAAAAATCTCCCCATGCACCCCATGAGGCAGCTTGACACAAAAGACCAGAACACAGCACACATTAACCAGTGAGAATTACATATAGTAAGTATCAGGGGAAGTGAAGTAACTTTGTCTAGGCTGCTGAAGACAATCTGAACAAAAAGATTCAACTTTCAAGTTAAGTAGGGCACACACAATAAACTCTTGCACTTCAATACGGAAGTTTTGTGTTTCAGTAATTCCTATAACATTTCTTTCAAAACTGAAATTAATGACTTGTTAGCTGGTTTTTACCAGTGGGCTGAAAGGGTTCTAGCCTCAGCTCATCCAGGTCTAAAAAGAGCTGGAAGTATTTAAGGTCTATTAAGTATCTGTCAGTTTGTGAGTTAACTGGCTCAACAGGGTTCTCTACCAAATCCACGATGCCCAACAAAGGCAGTTATTTAATATGAAAGCAGGAAGCATAAGATCCACAAGGACTGCGAGTGGTCAGGGAAAAGAGTTATTAAAGCTCAGAGGTGCTGCTTTTAGAACATGACTTATATACGTTGAAACTCTTTAGATAGAATTTATCATGCTGTCCCTGTGCAAAGGATTAAATACAGCTAAAACGAGATTATACAAGGTAAGAACCACCCTTTTGGATTTAAGCAGGATGCATTACCCCTTTTAGCTTCAGGGCTTAGTCCTCTGCACCTAGTTATCAGTACAGAGAGATTACATATGCTTTTTTGTTGGGACAGGGAAAAGGTACAACTGACAGTACCATTCTTTAAAGAATAACCTAATAAGCACATGATTTTGATGAATGACTGGAATATAGGTATCCTGAAGGAGTATAGTCAAACATTAGTTAGATTTCAAATTTGAGCAATTGTACAGAGGCTGCCCAGATCCACTTTCTACTACAGCAGTTCTATGCGCTGAGACAATGTAAAGTGGTGAGAATTTTTCTAGAAAACTATTGCATACAGCCTTTCCAAAATTAATTGTATCACAAACTGGTCTGTAAGCAACCATAATTTTAGCTCTATTACAAGCTTCTTTTTCATCCTTTCCTCTACAAGAGTTGTCCAAGTAGAGATTTGAAAGATAAGCTTCATTGCCTGGCAGACTTATTATTTTGTAAGCCACTATAAAGGAAAGTCTGTTTTGCCCAGGTCTCAGAGGGCATTAGTCTTCTGTACATACAAATCAGACAACCATGATTGAAAGGAGCAGTGCTGATAGCACTGAAAAAATTGGCAGCACCATCTCTGACACCTCAGTCTCAAGGGAGTAGTATCAATTACAGAAGGCATCAAGGACAAGACAGATGAGGCTATAGCTTTTGCTTACCATTACGGCACCAAAGCATTGGTACCAAGGTGTCATTAAGCTTTGAGAGTAACTATAACAGTGCAGGAAGGCTCTGACTTTCCTATATCACTTCAACTCCATCGAATCATGGTTTGGCTTGGAAGGGACCTTTAAAGATCATCTAGTCCAAACACCCTGCCATGGGCAGGGACATCTTTCACTAGATCAGGCCGCTCAAAGCTCCATCCAACCTGACCTTGAACACTTCCAATGATGGGGCATCCACAACTTCTCTGGGCAACCTGATCCAGTGTCTGACCACCCTCATTGTAAAAAAAAGTCTTCCTTATGTCCAATGTAAACCTACACTCTGATTAAAACCATTGCCCCTTGTCCTGTCACTACAGACCCTCGTAAAAATGTCTTACTCCATCTTTCTTATAAAGCTCCTTTACACATTGAAAAGCTGCAATAAGGTCTCCCCAGCGCCTTCTCTTCTCCAGGCTGAACCACCCCAAATCTCTCAGCTTTTCTTCATGGGGAAAGTCTGCCAGCCCTCTGATCATTTTTGTGGCCCTCCTCTGGACCAGCTCTAACAGGTCCGTATCTTTCTGGTACTGGGGACCGCAGAGCTGGATACAGGACTCCAGGTGGGATCTCATGAGAGCTGAGTAGAGGGGGAGAATCACCTCCCTCCCTCAACCTTCTGGCCACACTTCTTTTTATGCAGCCCAGGATATGGTTGGCTTTCTGGGCTGCAAGATCCCACTGCCAGCTCATATCCAGTTTTTCATCCACCAGTATCCCCAAGTCCATCTCCGCAGGGCTGCCCTCCATCCATTCCTCCCCCAGTCTGTACTGATATTGGAGACTGCCCCAACCCAGGTGCAGGACCTTGCACTTGGCCTTGTTGAACATCATGAGGTTCACATGGGCCACATGGGTTCCTTCCTTGGACAGTTCTTTGCTGAGGGCATCAGCCTCATCAAAATACAAATGACTTAACAGGAAATTAGTTACTGAATTTTAAGTCTTTAGCTCAGGAGCAACAGACCTCAGGCTGGCAGTTATAGGCCATTTAAGGTTCAGGTCCTGCCCAGAGAGGTCAGATGTACTACAGTCTGAAGTCTGGCTTACATCTGTTTAAGACAGTTACAGATAGACATCCTTGAACTTTAAAATCGCTTGAGATGTGAATCCAATGCATTTGCCAGAGATGCAAGATTCCTCTCAACAGAGAGGTAGCCTTGCAAGCCCAGGCACAAAACCCTTGCAAAGAAGTAATGTACTACTGCCACCCATTGTTACCAGAAATATGAAAGTCTGTCCTCCCACCCAAATCACGAGCAGTCTATTGGAGGCAAGCAACTTAATTAGATACTGATATCAGACAATAGATGCAAAAGAAGAGAGAAGTCAGTAGTGCTCAAGTTGACAGGGAGGAGCAATCTCAAACCCATTAGTGATGTGATTGTGCTGCATGCATGTTCAGCTGGAAACACACAGCTGACCAAAGCCTGCTGCTCTGCACAGATCTTCAGGTGCGATATCTACATGGAGAGTCACTTGAATAGGTTTGTTCATGCTCATGTGCCCTGGTACATACACCCATTAAATTACACACACAATAGATGCTGCAGCAGAGCACTTCACATTTCATCTCCAAGAATATCGAACCAAGTCATTAGTAAAGGCTGCTTAGAATTTTCTTAACTAACAGCTGCTTCAGAAAACTACTCGAAAAGATTAAATAAAGGGGCTTTGGTATTTGAATCTGAAGCAGCATTAGTCACTAGGACACTATCTTTCCTTGTAGCAATTATCTTTTCAAGGAGATAATGGCAGACGTTAACAACTGCCAGAGACACAAAAATCTAAGTTTCTCAGCTGGTCGGCCATACCTGTTGCTGTGCAAGCTGGACTTGATACAACTGCTGCATGTATTGTTGATAATGCTGTTCCTGGAGCTGCCGAATTAGGATCTGCTGCTGTTCATAGTTGCCCGGATATTGCTGGGCTGCATACTGCTGGAACTGAATGGCAGTCTGGGAGTTCAGTGCTGCCATTATCTGTTGCCTAGATTGGTGGGAGGAGAGTATGAAGATTACAAGCAGCTGAGGGTATTGGGGAAATCCCTGTACTTAAGTGGTTTAAGTGGCCTCAAAGACAGTTAATTCAATTCCTGCAAAAACCAATTAAAACAAATCTACATAATAGAGCAGAGCCCAGAGGTAATGCAAATGTGAATTTTGCCTAAAAAATACACTGAGAATATAAAGAAGGGAGCAACAATTTCTACCCAATGTCTGAAAATATCAAATGTTAAAAAACACAAGAGCTCTTAGATAATTCTCAATCTGTAGTCTGATAAAGAGATAGAGCTGGAAAAATGCATGACTAAATTTCTCAAACAAGCAAGGGAAAAAACCCCACACTTGGTTCCTCCGGAAAACATGCAGAAACCATCCTTCTAGCAGCCCTTCTACAAATATTGGTAAGAATAAACTTGCTGTGGTACAGCACACCAATGCTTTTTGGTAAATCTAAGCAGAACATGCCACAATACTATCTTAATTTCCCAGGACAGTATGCAAACAAATATGAAAAGCATGACTGGCTGTGGCCTAATTCAGGAATGAAAAAAATGCTGTCAAATAGGGCATCTCCACCTCCAGTAAACTCAACTGCTGAAACTTCAGGAGGAACACATAGGTTACTTATGCACAGGCTCAGCTGTTCTCCCTCCAAAGGGCTAACAGAAACTGTATATTAAAACTACTAGCTAGATCCAGGGTTTGTCTCACATGTCATGTCCATCAGTGACCAGCTATCAATGCTTCAGAGGAAGAAAGAATTATCACACAAATGCAGGAGTAATTCTTTCCTTCCCACTCTTCTTCCTTCTCCAAAAATCATCCTCTAAAAGCTCCAGTATTAGACTGGTTTAATATACTACAGGGCAAGATTTCCTACTCTTCAGTGAACTATGACCAGTTTAGATACATGTGGCCTGTATGTAGGTATCCATGTTCCTTTTCTGTCTAAACTCTTCATCTCTGTAAGCTGCTACAACCACTTAATACACAACTATTATTCATGTAAAAAAAATCTCTTAATTTCAAGGCATACCACACTTCTTGTTACTTAACACTAAGTAACATTTTTTATTGTATTCTCAATTCCATTTATGTCTGTGTTTTACATCCCTCTGGCTCGCACCACGTTAATCAAACAGCAAAACTTGTGGATTAGTTGTTTGGTCCCTTCTTAAAACCACTACACAGCAAGCACAGGATCTACTTCAGAGACACCCCCTGTGAAGACATTTTTATTATGGAAAATGGTTGCTGACTGATGTGGAACAGCTCTGACGATCTACTATTCTCTTAAATATTACGTGTGCAAAGCTAGATCCATGCTTTCAGCATCTGGATGTGATGGGAACAATGAAATATAACTAGAGCTATATATTCTAAGGAGACAATTTAATTCAGGCTACAAACAGAGGTTAAGTGCATTTGAACGTAAATTTTGTATTCCTTTTAGAAAGGTGGTAAGATCCAGAGATTGCCAGTGTACAAGTGAGATCTGCAGACACTTCCTAGAAAGGGAGCACCTTTAAGGAGGTAGTGTTAGACTACCAAGTTAGAAAATTTCAGCCATGGATTCAAAACACCCCACTGAACTGCAGTTCAATGGAGAGTTATCCTTTTTTCAAGGCTCCGCCTTCTGTGAAAGTATAGAAACTTTCAAGTCACAGTTTGAACAACACTTTCAGGTGGACACTTAACACTCCTCAGTTGAGTGCAGCATTAATCATTTAAGAAGCAGAGCCACAAGTTTTCATGAGGTACAGCCCTTGAACCCCAAACCCTCCAGAGCATCTCTTTAAACGAAGCCTCTCTAGCACTTTCATCTAAGGCGGCTGCATACAATAACACGTTAGGATAGTTATTCTCTGCAAACTGTGCCCCTCAACTAAGGATGCAAATGTCACTGCTAGACTTGAGTACTCTGAACTTCAGATATTCAATTCTAGCATAACTTTAAACAGTTAAGATACAATTGTCAAAGAAAACTGCCTTGCACTTGAGACATGTTGTTTGTTTCAGCTACTCACTTTTGTTGTTCCATCCGAAGTCGTTCCTCCTCTATTCTCCTCCTCTCTTCTTCTTCCCTTCTCAGTCTTTCCTCCTCTTCTCGCCTACGTTTTTCTTCTTCTTTTTGTAAACGCTCACGCTCCTCCTCTTCACGCCGCCTTCGTTCTTCCTCTTCTCTTCTGCAACATCCACTCAATAAGCTATTTCAGCATTCCTACAATCCTAGGATGAGTTATTTTCAACATGCTGTAACCTGCCTTTGGCCTCCCCAATAAGGCTTTTTGTTTGGTATCATCTCCTCCCACTTAAATTGTCCTGAAGAAGTGTCTTATTGGACACAAGAAGAAAAACATATTTAGTTTTACTGCACTCTGCAGTATGACAAGTGTAAATTCTGTACTATAATTTGATATTCATTCTAACCTGTTAGTACACTATCTGTAGCAGAGAGCAGTAGAAAAAATTCCCTGGAAACTTTAAACACATCTTCCAAGTTTTAACATATGTTCAGTAATTACATGGATACTATAGTTTAATAATCACATGATATGTAAATGATAGTAGAAGATAGCCTTTGTCAAGTTGCTAACCCATACTAAGGTTAGCACCTGACAATTTCATGGTCTGCGTACACTTAGTCCACAGACATATCAGTGCAGACATTTTGTGAAGCGTGTATTTCTTAAGATGACAGTATCAGCAAAATTTTAAAAACTCCTTATATTCTAGGTGTCTTTACCTCAGAAACAATCATTCATTACTGGCAAAGTAAAAAGGCTTAAAGAGATCAAATGGTACCACAGCCAGCTAAACTTCAAACATTTCTCTTCCCAAGACAACTTCAGCCTAAGCTAGCTGTGACACTGTCCATAGGCCAAGAGTTATACACTCAATATACTCCAACACCAAAGGACTCAAACATTACCTTTTCTTTTCTTGTTCCTCTTTCTCTATCTTGTGGGAAGTGACATATGTTGAAAACAAGTGGCAGCACCTATTCAGGAGCTTAACAAATTCTGTCATAGCTTTTTGCTTTGACATGTTTCCAAGGGCAGCCCATTCCTTCCTGAGAGAGAGAAATCAGCTGAAATAACAGAAGACTCAACTCTTTTCAAGTCAGTAGTGAACTCTGAGAACTCCAAGAAAACAAAAAAATTGGGAGACCAGGGACCAAACTTTATCATATGCAGTTTCAGAGAATTAACAACTTTTTCCCAAAGACAGTACAGTGCTCTCTTCTGCCTGTACCGGAAGAGCTCTTTCAAACAGACATAACTGAGTGCTGATACGATACCACATACGTACCATTGACCCTACTTAGAATTCTGAACTATGTCCAAAAAAACTTCCCAGCTACAAATGAACCCGAAATATTTTTGCCCTTCTTCCACTCTAGTTTGTAGAAAAAATTGCATACATTTTCCTGAATGAACAGACATGGTAACAACCATGCTTCAGTTAGTTGGATGCAACAGCCTGGTTCTTCCTGAAGGAAAGCTACATCCATCTGGGCAAAAGCAGTGCACTGGGTCCAACTCTGAGAAGCCAGTGCTGTGTTGCACATTGCCTTCACACTAGAAATAGCAACAATGAACATTAGAAGGACAGCCTGAACTCCAAGCAATACAAGAGACATGCCTGAGACTGCCCAGATCTCAAAAATTTACTCAGTTTGAATGTATCAGGTAACTGATTTCAGAAGTTATCTTTGGTATTAGCAAAAACTATGGTGAATGCTGCTACCACTGGCAAAAGGCCTGGCCTGCTGTAACCCTGGTGTGAAATTAGGATGAAACGTGGGCCTGCACATTAATGCACAGCTAACCAAGTTTTAAACTGCTATGAGAAACTGGACTGTTGGCACAGCAGCTTTTCCTAATGTGCTTGAAAAAAACTCCAATAATCTTCCGTTAGCTCCTTTGCTGAACTGTGACTCAGATTTCTAAGATTTATTTGAAGAGGCCACTCTCACTTTCCACTACCATACACACATATCAAGGCAACCCACATACTTGTCGTCTTATTGCAGAAATTGGATGATGTTATCTTCACACAGGAAATGCACAGTTAAGACCAACAAGAGCACCAGCCCTTTTACCTTCTATCATTCCCCAGTACATCAAAGAATCCAACTTCAGGGCAAGTGTCAGGGTTGTAAGGTCCCAGCAGAACCTGCTTGTGCAGCGCCACAAGTTTGAGTTTTTCTTCATATGTTGGATGAAAGGCTTTGCCATCTTTTTCTGTAGAAAAAGAAAATTTCACTGTGGTGATTAATTGATTAAGCACAGGACAGCAAAGAGCATTTTGTACAACCACTACCATGATTTCTTCCATAAAAAAAGGAATAAGATAGGTAAGTTGCAAAAGGTTAGATAAATCAGTTCTGTTCAAATAGAATATAGATCTGTCCAGGAGAAACACATCTGCTTCAGCTGCTGAAACTTAACTGTGAAGTGTTTTTCATCATACCATCTAAAGTGAATCTTAGCTAGTAAGTTATCACATAAATATTTATGTTAATTAGTTGAACATCATACCATATGGATCCCTATTTCTGAAATATTTAAAAACCTTAACTTGAATTGAAATGTGTCTGCCAAGTCTATTATAGTGTGGATAGGAAGGATTTTCCACAAAGAAAGACGTGATGTTAACTTTATAGACTGCTCTCCTTTCATGCTCTTCACATTGATGAAAGCAGAACAAGCAAGGCTTAAGGCAAAGAAAACTGCAGAGAGGAAAAATTGGAATTAAGGGAGAGTTTTCCTTGAGGGAATTTGATTGCTGCACTTTGCCAAGGCAGCTGGAATAACCCCTCACAATGAAAAGTCTTAGCAGTGACTCCATCAGCACCAACATTTACAGAGAGCTCTGGCCATGAGACGCAGGCAGCATAAGCCTGAACATAATCAGAATTCCAATGGCTCCATACCAACACCTTTTGAAGTGGTCCTGGTTAGATCCCGCCATGCTTTTACTGGTAAAAGGAGACTTGCATTGATTTAAAATGATATATGAATTAGTCAGCTAGGACTTACCTCAGCACATTCAAACTGTCAAAACAAATCAAAGAAACAGGTACCGCTATATGTAATTAGACTGCTCATTAAGAAAAGACCTTTTTCTTGAACAGGAAAACAAATAAATAAGCATCATCTCCTTTTGGAAGGGCTGAAATAAGGAAGCTATTACCAGAGGTAAACAATAGTCATTTCACATGACTGTACTACTAACTGCTCTCCATATAGTCAGGAACTGCAGGCAGAGCTGCAGCTCATTTCCAGCTCTCCTTTGGAGCAAGTTGTTTACAGCCCCAAACTGAACAGTCCCATTCACACCCAAATTTTAGGGCTGACATCTATGTATTGCGAAATTACTCGGCTGAAGCTTGTGAACAGAGTTATTAACAGGAAAAGAAGCAAATCTCAGAACAAAAGAGGAAGGGAAATACCTCTTCTATGACTTATTGAGAAACTTGGAGCAAATACTTCTGAAAATTGGAAACAACCCCAGAGGGAAAGTGTTTGCAGGTCACAGCAAGAAGCTATATTTTTGACACAGTAAGTTCAGCATATTACTGGACTTAGTTAAAACATCACAACGAATCACTACGTGCATGCCTTGTTTTGAAACCAGAATCAAAGAATTAGGAGGGTAAACATTTAATTACTTATTATCCATTCCTAGAGGTCCACTTCCCTCTTCCAGAATCTCAAGTATTCGCTCTTCTCCCAGTGTCGAATGTTACAGCAAATATAGCTTCCAGCTTCAAAAACCAGAAGCCTTTCTCCACAAAAATATCTATTTCCAAAAATACCTGGTGGGGTGAGGGGGGAGGATATAAAGACTGAACCAGGGCCTACTCAGTGGTATCCAGTGAAAGGACAAGAGGCAGCAGACACAAGCTGAAATATAGGAAATTCCACTTAAGCATAAGAGATGGCTTTTTTTTAAACTGTGAGAGTGATCAAGCACTGAACAGGTTGCCCAGAAAGCTTTTGAACTCTCCATCCTTAGAGATATTCAAAACCCAAATGGACACAGTCCTGAGAAGCCTGCTCTGAACAGAAGGGCTAAACTTGACAATCCCCAGAAGTCCCTTCCCACCCCAACAGGTCTGTGATCCTTGAGAGGCAAATCACCACATCCTGGTAAGCTCTCTCCCTGCGTCTCAGGTCTCCTGCTCTCAGGTCACCCAAAGAGCCCTTCGGCTTCTCCACAATTCTTCACACTTCACATTTAACTCAGAATTTGCTTATTAAGTAGCAAGCACTTCCATTAGCCTCAATAAACAGCATGCACTTTGAAATCCTATTTAATACCCTGGGGCAGCATGCTTAAAAGCAAGTCAATTGATAAGGGTACTATACTGAAATTTTGCCAGGCTTCTTTCTAAGTGAAGTATGCTTCTCAAGGGGGTCCCTATGGCATAGTTTACCTTGCACAACCTGTATACCTACAGTTGTCTGCCAAAACCCATAGCTATTTGCTGTACTAGACTCCCACCTAAGCCTATCAACAACAGTATTTGAACTCACTCCTGAATAGGGTTAGACAGGAAAAAAACATGGTTTCCCATGCTATAAACAGCACATCTGCATTTTTGCAGAACAGAGAAGTCAGACCTCAAGTCCTACCTATCAAGAGAAGCCAAAATCTGCATTTACAAAGAACGGTGAACCAAGGGAAGAAGAATAAACAAGCTAAACAGGAGAGGAAAACAGACAGATGAGAAAAACAGGAGACGGGCACTCAGTGACTTGTAGATAATGCAGATTAGAAGCAAACTCTCAGCAAAATATTTGGAGCCAGTCAAGAGAATGAAGTTGTATACTAGCTATTTTTCATTTGAATTCTTCAGCACGAACTACACTGTATAGTTATCCAAAAGATTTGGAACTGTTGCCATTAAACTGAACCAGAGGACCCAAAGCCATCTGCAGAGTCAAATATGCCAACAAAAAGCATTAGTGAGTCCAGACAAGTAGAAGTGCCAAATTTATTCAAGCATCCGTGAACGTACCATTTAAGTAGGTATTACCCACATATCTAACACAGCTGTCAGGAAGCTGAAGAACATCAAAGAGCTCTAGGGAACACACTGAGAAATACAAAGGATGCGCACAGCAGTAGTACAGCAACTATACAACTCTCCCTGTGCCACTGGTATGCCTGACCCAACAGGGCCAGAGAAAGGCTCAGCTTTCTTACAGAAGATTAGGGGACTTCTTTCCTGGCAATACTTTAAACCATCATTCACTTGAAAAGGCAATTTCTCAAGTCAACTAAACTCTCCCCTTAAGCAGCAGCCACTAACAGATCAAACTCAAGTAGCGATTAAGGGTATGATTAGATTAAGGGTATGGTTACAGGAACCAGGCAGGCTATGGACCTATGATGCTTCAGGCATTCTGCAGTAAAGGTCCATATATACACACATACACATGTATTTCACCAATGACATGAAGTAGTTCACCCAGAACACGGAGAAACACTGGCACCCACTTACTGCAAGCTCAGACCTCCCTGATGTGTGCCATGAAACCACAACACGCTGTTACTGTGTTGTCACCCCTGAAAGGGAAATCCGTGCATACCTAATATCAGCTCTTCACACTACTGCTCTCCTTGACAGCGACTACTTTGTTTAGATGCCCACAAAACTGAGATCCATTGAGGGCAACTCAGTTGAATACTCCAGAAAACCAGTACTTAAACACCAACGACCCTCCTTGTGCTACAGGTAATTAACTGTATGCTTGAAGACCACCGTTTGTGTCGGCATGCAAACACAACGGAGCATTGAAGCTACAACTAGTAATGAAAACCAGATAACAGAGGCTTATGTCACTATGTGGCACTGTACCATTGACATGAATTGGTATAAACCCACAAATTTAGACTCAAGGGAGTTTAAGAAATACGCTTAAGAGACTGCATCATGCAAGACACTGTTACTCCTATGTGACTTCAGATTTTCCCCCCCGTAAGAAACATGGCACAACATGCTGCAGCTTCCACTCCAACTTCACCTACTGCACTCACTCTAAATGCCTAATTCCCATGGGATACCATTCAGTTGAGTCATCTAGAAGAAGCTAGACAACAGTTTGTGAAGTGCAGTTCTTCACCTCATAGCTTTTAAAAGCAGAAGCCACATGTTAATGCTATTCATTTGCAAAGTTTTAATGAGCAAGACCAAAACTGAGAAGCACGAGAACTGAATCGCTGCCTGCAGATCCCAGTACACACTCACACTCCTAATTCTCTCCTGAAGATGTTTTGCATGAACAGAAGAGTTACCAACTGGCCCTTCCAATTAAACGTGATCAAAGCTCAACTTCACATCAAACGTAGATACGTTATAGGGGTTTTCATATTCTTGAAAACAAGAGCCCACTTAACTTATGAATTACAATCATGCCATCAAATTAGCCCTGAAAAAAAAAAAAAGATGAGGCCAAACAATTAATTTAGAATGATGTATTGCTGAGTTTGAAGATGCATTCTTGTTAGGATAAGAGGAAGTAACTTGGAGCAGTCAAACAAAATTAGAGTATTTAACATACCAGGAGAGCTTTTAGATACCAAAATGATACAGTTTGTATACTGTCTACTCAGATGAGCTGCACTGAAAATCACTTTAGACAGTGCATGAATGCTTCAGGGACTGTCATATATTGAAGGTTGGGTGCAATGGTATTTCAGTGACAGGGTGTTGAAAACCAAAGCCAGGTTGATACTGGAAGAGATTTGCTGGCAGAGGTATGCAAGCCACCCCCTCCTACTGCAGGAGACAGCTTACACCTTAAACAAGTTACCTTCACTGGCGTAGCTCGTACCAGCTCAACAAGCAGAATAAGCAGTCTGAGACACTTCTACTCTGCCAGCTGCCCCAGGGCACATAATTACAGACAGTCCAAGAGACAAAAACATACCCATTTCAGTAACACGGCTGTGTTCTCCACTGTACACTGTATCCAGCACAGCAGAGCAGCTTCTTAATGGCAGCCAAAATGCTAGTCGACCTGAACTAGGCTCGACAGAGCAGTAAGGGAAAGAGTGCTTATTGTAAGGAAGGCTCTTGTTTCTCACAGAAAAATGGACTGGAACACTATTAACCGTCTATTTTCTATGCCTCTTATTCTGAAAAGCTTTCTTCACAAGCCATTATGGATGCTAAAAAAAAAGCTAGCACACATCTCCTGCACAGCCTAAGGCCTGACAGTTAAAGTGACCCAGGGTCAAGCATTTTAGATCTGCTTCTGCCTTTATCAGAGACAGAATAAAGTAGCTTTTGAGTCTCTCTAATATCCTAGCCTTGTTTCAGTTGTGTTTTTCACATTGTTTATATGCACTCCCACCCTGTCTTGTCTTTGAGCAATTCTGTTACATGCAATATGCCACCACAGACAAGTGTTAGCAGTCACTGTAATAAGCAAATCTGAAGTATTTTGATCAGATTCAACTTTTCTAGGAAGTAAGTACATCATGAGTTACAACCAGACAACTCAGTCTGCACACTGATGCAGAAAAAAAGCTGCTTAACTAGCGACTGCTGCTTACCCTTTGACCTCGCATGGGGACTCCTCTAGCATCCCGACCGAGCTCCTTTCATCCCAATCACCATAGTCAATCCAGATACCATCACTCTCCCAAACAAGTGCTGCCCTCACTTGCTTCTTTGTTCCACAGTAGCTGTGTGAGTAGGTAATGTCATATACTGAGGCATCACCACCAACTAGCTTTAAGAAAGTTTTTCAAAGACGCCCCCCATCTCCAAATCAGTATAGTATTTAGAAGAATGATCAGAAACAAGATCTCTGCATTGACCTATTAACACAGGTCAACCTTCAGATCCCTCATATGTTGCTTCTTGAAAGAAAGGAGGAATCCATATTTGTTCCTTGGCACCTACAAGGCTGCTAAAGAAGCATGCCCACTCCCACAGTTGTTTTGACAGTGGATGCATGAAAATAATTTGGAAACAAGACCAATTATTTTCGGAGCCATACAGATATAGAACAAGCTGGCAGAATCAGTAATCCAAGTATTACAAGCTCCTGTAACTCACCAAAACTTGTATAAAAATCCTTGTGTTATGTCACTTTCAGCAAAAAACTACAGATGAAGATATGAGCAAAGACTTCATGTGACTTATTCCAGCCGTAAGGATAGAGGAACAAGGTCTTCATTCGGAAAGTCTGACAGCTCCATACAATGTGGAAAATTTTCCTCTTATGAGCAAAACCATGCATTACAAGAAATTGCAGAAGGTTAGAAAAGGAGCAGCAGTAAGTTAAACATGTTGAAATTAAACTTTTATTAAAAGGAAGGCAACAAAAACCCCACTGTTGAGACAACACAACACAAGGAACTGGAACCTAGATACAAGTAACACTCTGCTGACTTTTTACCATCCAAGAGGACATAAAGGTAGAACATAAATTTCATTAAAACCTGAGATATAATAGACATAGGGTAGCAATAATGTAGATAAAAATTGCACACTGAGAATGAGCTTGTGTAATTTTGTGTAATACAGGTTCTAATAGAATATTAAACTCAAGACAAAATAATACCACATGTGACTGAGGCAAGGAATTTGCTGCTGCAGAGACATTTATTTCTGCATCATGTTTTAAGAACAAAAGCTCATTAAACCAAACCAGAACTCTTTCAAGCAGCTTGATTTACAGAAAGGAGAAAGAGACAGAAGTTACAATGCTTCCACAACCTGAAACACCGTTGCAGCAGTTTGGCAGAGGCAAAAAATAAATAAAAAAATAAAAAAAAAATCAATACCCTTATGATTCTTACAGCTTTAAAAAAAAAAAGTATCTTTGTATGTTAGCATGCTAACAAAAAAATTGCTCTGTGGAAGGGCATCAGAACAGGGTCAAAAAACCAGAGCTCAAGAAAACTGCTTAGAGCCTTACAAGCTCCTAACAACTATCAGGGTGCAGGTCAGCCAAAGCGAAGAAAACAAACAACTTTGTCCTTCCAGCACAGTCTCCACCTGCCAGTATGCTTGCCCTTGGAAAAGGCAGCTTTCCTGGGGGGTCATCTAACAACTGACCACCACAAGATTGACCTTTTAAAGTAGAGTTGTATCTTCCCTAGCCCAGGCATGTCGCTAGACCCCCTGCTCTGTGCCCCATGTTAAGCAGCAGCAGCCGTCTGAAAGCCAACAGAGCAACAGATTGCTGCGAGGTGCTCAAATGCTGTAGCGCAATGTAATGCTACAGCAAACGCAGCTCTTCCTCCAAAACCACGCAGTCGATTTCCTCCTCTTGAGGAAAGCAAGCGTGGCAAGGTACCTCCGGCTTTCTGCAGAAACAAACTTGGCTACAGGGGATCCCAAGACAAACGCTCCAGGTCTACACCCTGGGTATTTCATGGCTCCCTCGCACAGCTGCCAGCCGGAGTCATGACGGCACACGAAGCGGCAAAGCCAGACTTGAAGTTAGCATCCTGTGGAGACGGCACAACATCTCACGCCAGTATCCGGGCTGTCAGCAGACTCGACAACACTCAAAGAGAGCACTCCTCGCCTATGTTTGCAAGGTTTTTCTTCGCGTGCCACAAGCAAGAATTTTTTTAATTTTATTTTTTCTCCTCCCTTTTTAGGTCGGCTGGTGCAAACCCTCGGTAATGCCTTCCCGGCCCGGCGCAGCGGGCACACCACGGCCCGGGGCAACCTGCCGGCTCTTCCCCGGTCCCCCGCCTCAGCTTACCTCTCGCACCAGGAAAACCGTGTCCCTACGAGCCACCTCCAACCGCCGTGACACGATGCTCGCCCCGGCACACCGACCCCCCCCCCCCCCCGGGGGCCGCGGGCCGTGCCGGCGCCGCCCCCCCAACCCACCCCGCGGCTCTCCGGGGATCCGAGGCTCCACCTGCGCCCCGGAGCTCGCCTCGGCGGGGAGGCGGACGGTGCCCGGGGCTTCCCGGGACGCGGCGGC